AAGCCCCTGATGCCAGCGCTGAAGATGTACCTGCACCAGAGGAAGCCTCTGATGCCAGTGTGGAAGATGCACCTGCACCAGCGGAAGCCCCTGATGCCAGTGCTGAAGATGTCCCTCCCCCTGCCGAATGATAATGTCCCAGAAATACCTGGTTCTGCCATTAAATCTAATACTAGTTTTTCGAATACACTTGAAGGAATTTATTCAATAATCCAGGTGTGCATGCTGCAGCTGATGGCTCTTGAACTAGCCTTTAAATGTAACTGGTTAAATAACATAACTCCATCGTGGCCTGACTTTGAATATAATTTTTGTCACATCTAGCTTGATCCTGGCTCTGAGGTGTAATACCTTGTTTAGAGATTCTGTCACCTGTAACAAGTGTGATTACAATATTAACCTTGAGACTAGGAATTGCACTCTTGAGTGTTTGCATTGTAGAAGGAAAGAAAGCAGTCATAAGGCAACAAAACTACTGATGTAACTTAAATGGAAATAGTGAGAATGTTAACACTAACTATTAACTTAAACTTGTCATGGTATCTGAACGTTTGGACCTATAAAGGAATTACCCAGATCAAATAGCCAATTTTCAACTTTAGTACCAAATCTGTAGTTCTCTGGAATATAAGTTACATTCAAACTAAGGCAATAAATTCTCAATAAGATCCAAAAGTATATAATTTTATATTTTGCTGTTTTATCAAAAGTCTTGACTGTTTGGAACCAGGTAAACATTCAATAAATATTGGTTTTGAGTTAGTCACTGTTGATTTAAATACTTTACTCTGGGCAGGATAGTATCACATAATAATTAAACACTATTGCATGACTCAATGGGAGGTGAATTTATGTCTGCAGCTGATAGGTTTCTAATTTGGATTACAATGTTGTCAGGGAGTTAAGAATCTCATTATTTGCATATTGCCTTGAGATATTAATGACCTAGATTTGGGTGTGTAGGACATAACCTCAAAATTTGTGGATAATACAACATAATAAAGCTGGAACATCTTCAGTAGTGGCATTGCAGGCCTTAAAACATTATAAATTATGAACAAGATAGTGTTAGTCTTCATATTTAAGAAAATGAGCTAGGATGTCCAACTTGGAGTTGAAGTATGGAGTCAGACATGTTACAGGTGATCACTTCTACCAGGGATGGTCCAAAATAATTTATCTCATGTGGTCATCTACAATTCAGCTTAGTACATTTGCAGGCAACTTGTACTGCTGGTTGAAGGGAGAATCATATTGGACAGACAGCCAGGTGGTTCTCACCCTTCCCAAGGTCTGGCAGCAGGAAACATTCCCATCAGACCCAAGTTATCAGGATCAAGGTCACAGCCCCAGGTTTGCACAAAAAATAAACCCCATTCTTGCATTCAGTGCAGGAAAAAGGTGAACAAGCACCTGGGCTCCGTGAGGTAAGTGGAAACATTTTCTCATTGCAACCTCACACTCGCATGGTCATCAACCAATTGAATTGTGAAACTGCACAGGCATTTCACAGTAGAACAATTATATAAAGTTTCAGCCTTTTTATTAATCATGCATGGAATGTCAGCATCACTGGCTGGCCAGCATTTGTTGTCTATTTCTAGTTGCTCTTGAGAAAATGGTGGTGAATTGCCTTCTTGAACCATTGCAGTCCATTTGGTATCGGTAGACCCTCAATCCTGTTTGGAGGGAGTTCCAGGATTTTGACCCAGCAACAGCTTCCAAATCAGAATGGTGAGTGCCTTGGAGGGGAACTTGCAGGTGGTGGTGTCTTTGTCATTCCAGTTGAAAGTAGTTATAGGTTTGGACAATCCTGTCAAAGGAGACTTGGTGAATTTCTGGAGTTCAGTTTGTAGATGGCAGCCATTGGTGGTACTGGGTGTTGGTGGTGGAGGGAGTGAGTGTTTATTCATGTGTTGCCAATAAAATGAGCTACCTTGTCCTCAGTGACATCAAGCTTTCCATACAATATGCACTGAAGGGTGCACAGCCACCTTTTGCCACCAGTGGGACAGCACCTGAGAAACACTTACCAGAAGGACTCAAGACCTGGCATAAAGTATTCATTCACACATTATGATCACCCACAATCCTTCTTTTTCTGCTGACCATAATCACAAACTAAACTAGTCCCACCTGCCTGCTCCTGGGCCATATTCCTCCACACCTTTCCTATTTATGAACTTATCCAAATGTCTTTTAAACATTGTAATTGTACTCGCATTCACCACTTCCTTTAGACATTCATTCCATACACGAAACACCGTCTGCATAAAAAAATTGCCCCTCATGACTTTTTAAAATTCTCTCTCCTCTCACCTAAAAATGTGCCCCTTAGTCTTGAAATCCCCATCCAAGGGAAAAGACAACTACCATTAACTCTATCTATACCCGTCATTATTTGATAAACTTCTATAAGGTTGCCGGTCAACTTCCTATGCTCCAATGATAAAAGTCCCAGCCTATCCAGCCTTTCTTTATAACTCAAACCTGACACACCCAGCAACATCCTGGTACATCTCTTCTGAACCGTCTCTGGCTTGAGAATATCCTTCCGATAACTGGGCAACCAGAATTGGACACAATATTTCCAGAAGAGGCCTCACCAATGTCCTGTACAACGTCAATTTGACTTCCCAACTCCTGTTCTCAAAGGACTGAGCAATGAAGGTGAGCATGCCAAATGCCTTTTTAACCACCCTGTTTATATGTAACTCAAACCTCAAAGAATTATGTACCCTCACCCCTAGGTCCCTCTGTTTTACAACACTACCCAAGGTCCTAACATTATTTGTATAAGCCCTACCCTTGTTTGTTGTACCAAAATGCAATACCTCACATTCATCCACATTGAACTCCATCTCCCATTTTTTAGCCCATAGATGCATTTCATCAAGATCACTTTGTAATCTTAGAAAACCTTCTTCACTGTTGAATGTGCCACCAATTTTGGTGTCATCTGCAAACTTACTAACCATGCCCTCTATGTTCTCATCCAAATCAGTAATATAAATGACAAACAAACAAGGACCCAGAACCGATCGCTGTGGAACACTGCTGGTGACTGGCATCCAGTCCAAAAAGCAACCCTTCTGTAGTTATAGGTGATGCAGATATTTCTGCAAGGGATTTCATAGTTTCCTCCCTAACTTCCCATAACATTCTGGGATAGATTAGATCAGGTCCCAGAGATTTATCCACCTTAATTTTCTCTAAGCCTCCTGACCTTCCTCTTCTGTAATGTGAGCTGATTTAAAAAGATCAAAATTTATTTCTCTGCATTCTCTAACCTCCTTTCTTCACAGGGAAAACTGATTTGAAATATTTATTTAGTATTTCTCCCATCTTCTGGAATTCAGCACAAAGATGATGGCCTTGATCTTTAAGCGGCCCTACCCTCTCTCTCGTTGCCTCTTGCTGTTAATGTATTTGTAGAATCTCTTTTGGTTATCCTTAACCTTATTTGCCAATGGTATCTCATATCCCTATTTACATTCCTGATTTTTTTCTTAAGAATGTCCCTAAAGTCTCTAAATTGAACAAGAGATTCAATTGAACCAAGTTGTCTATATCTAAAATAAGATTCTCTTTTATTCTTGACTAGAACCTCAATATAATTATTCACCCATTGTTCCTTAAACTTACCAGCCTTATCCTTCACTCTAACAGGAACATAATGCCTCTGAACTCTTGTCATCACGCCCTTGAAAGCCTCTCACTTGTCAGACGTCTTTTTACCTGCGATTAGTGTACTCCAATCAACTTTTGAAAGTTTGTGTCTCATACCACTGAAAGTTGCCTTACTCCAATTAAAAACTTTAACTATTATGGAAGGCTTATCCTTTTCCATAACAATTTTGAAACTAATGGAATTATGATCGCTAGATCCAAAGTGTTCCCCCACTTTTACTTAAGTCACCTGCCCTGCCTTATTTCTCAAAAGAAGGTCTAGTTTTGCACCTCCTCTAGTATAAGTATCCACATATTGATAAAGAAAATTTTCTTGAACACATTTAACAAATTCTTCACCATCCAAACCTTTAGCACTATGGTAGCCCAGTCAATGTTTGGAAAATTGATACCCCCAGTATTACAGTCCAATTATACTTACATATATCTGAGATCTCCCTACATGTTTGTTTCTCAGTTTCCTTCCGAATATTGGACGGAGGGCGTCTCAAGTACAATCCCATCAAGGCGATCTTTCCTTTCTTATTTCTAATTTCATACCCATATATTTTTATTGGATGATTTTTCGGAAATAGCTTCTCTTAATTAGAGCAGTAATGTTGTCCTTAATGAAAAACACCACAACCCCTTCTTTCTTGCCTCCTTTCCTATCCTTCCTATAGCATTTAAAACCCAGAACATTGAGCTGCCAGTTTTGCCCATCTCTCAGCCAAACTTCTGTAAAAGCAATGATGTCCCAATCCCATGTTTTTAAACATGCCCTGAGTCCATCAACCTTACCTATTAGACGCCTTGCATCAAAATAAACTCTGCCTTGTCTTTCTATTCTATTTCCACGGGCTCTCTTCACATTCTGAATCTTCCCCATCAATCTTTCTACTTACACTGCTGCTTAGAATTCCTCCACTCCCATCTCTATCAGTATAAAGTTTCCCTTAATGGAACGAGCAAATCTCCCTGCTAAGATATTTGTCCGTTTCCAGTTCAGGTCAGAACCATCTTTTTGAACAGGTCTTTTTGTCCGAAAAGTGATTCCAATTATCCAAACACCTGAATCCCTGAACGATACATCAGTTCTTCAGCCATTGATTTATCTCTTTTATCCTTTTGTTTCTTCCCTCATTTGAGTTTGGCATTGGGAGTAAACCAGAGACTATTACTTTCAAGTTTCTAGTTTTTAATCTTCTACCTAACATCTTAAATTCATTCTGTAATGCTTTAATCTTTTTCCTAAAATGGTCATTCCTACCAATGTGTACAATAATTTCTGGCTTCTCAATCTCATCTTTAACAATATGCTTGAAATGCTTAAAGACGACCTTAATCCAAGCACCTTAGTGTAACAATCTGATGAGCCCATCACTGACGTGGGTCCACAGTCAGCAGAAGAAGCAATACCCTGAGGACTGTCGGAGACCAAACACCTTCGGGCACCATGAAGTTGATGTGCCTCTATACTTGGTCATAAAGTGAAATGGTCAACCTAAGACAGCCAGATAAACATTCGGCAGAGATACCAGAGTCCCTTACTAGATCAGCATAGAAAATGGAGGAG